GTCTATCCTCTTCAATCGTGGACTTTTTCACAAGACTGCTAACCACCGTTCCCAACCATCACCAAGCGCATCGACCGGTAAGGTTGAAGCTGCATCCCAAGGATCGGTGCCTCAGCGGCAGAAGCCGAACTCTCAGTGTTCGGCGGAGGAACCCAATGCATCAACAGAGGAGCTCGATGGATCGCCTGAGTGTAGGCCATCGTCCTCAACCGCGTCGCCTAACTGGTTGGTGCATGATACTCTACTTGGCGAGTTCCGTCTCACTGTGCTGGATCGTCACGACTTAGCTTCACCTTGTACCGAAATTTCCGACATGGCTGTTGGTACCTGGATGGCCCTACTGTGTACTAGGTGCTTATGTTTGCTGCAGTTTCCTCCGATAACTCCAGCATCATTAGAGGTTATGAAAACACAGCTTGAGGGCATTCCGAAAGCTCCTAGCCTCAGCAATGCACCCTTGATCATCCAACCCTTATACGACTATGGAGCTAAGCATTTTGCCCTCGCTGTCAGGAATCACGAGGGACTAGTGCTATATCTCGATAGCGCACTGGGTATGAACGCGATTCCTGGACCTATGCGTGAAGTGATGACCGCTATCTTCGGCAAAGGTACAAAGTGCGTATGTTTGCGCACACAACAGCAGACACCCGGATCTGCAAACTGCGGCCTCTTCACATTGGCGTGGGCGACAGAGTACGCCCTCCAACGAGCGACTGTCGATCCGGAGAAGGCCACTTACGATGAGGAAAAAATGCGGGATCATGCGGTTCGTTGTCTGCAGGAGAAGAGATTAAAGCCATTCCCACGAAAACGCGGAAGGCCCGGCAAAAACAACCGTCTTCAGGGCCGGATGGATATCGAGCTGTAGGCTGGAAGTGTCAATCATACAGTTTCTTCACAGTTTCGTGTGTGTTATTATGAATGTGGATGTTTCTGAGCGTGAACGTCTTCTGTTGCGTTTCTCTGCCAATGTTCGTCCAACTCAGTGTTCGTCCAT